GGTCGTCGACAAAACTGCACTTGTTTCTTCTTTTTTTTTTAAGCCCCATTTTCCCCAAATTTGATGTATTGGCCGGGGAAATATTTTAAAAATAACATCAGCTTTTAACAAAACATTCGAAGATAACACTTTAAGTATTTAATTAGAGATTGGTTTTTTTTCACAGCAATTTGCTCAACAAAAGAGAATGACGAACCTGTTGCACATGTGTATTTACTAATGACAGTTTGATATTCAAATTTAGGAATTCAACAACAAATCGTACAACTGGCTTATCCACCGGTGGTCCAACATCCAGCGATGCATTCGACAACAAACATCCCGCCTCGTTTCTCGGAATTGGCAACTGCTGGAATTTTGTGGCACTTAATAAATTGGCTGCTGTTACTACATAAGTGATTGATAAAACTCAAAAATTACATGTTTCACCCTTGAAAAGTAATGAAACTTTTCCCTTTATTTCGTAAGTTGCAATGCACATACTAACTCTTGGACAGTTAATTCTCATTAAATTAAAGTAATTGATAACCTTTGCTCACCCACAGGAGGATCCAGGAGGGACTCCTGGGAAGGGGGAGACAGTCCCCACCCACCCTGGAAGAACGCGAAAACTAGGAACAGAGTTGTAATACTGCTACTTTGAGTTACTTTAGGCTTTAATTTCCCTTAGTTTTAGCTTTAGATCCGGGCTTTGTAAAACTGCTGCCTGCGCTGTTCGAGGAGGGGGAGGGGATCCACCTATCCGTTTATATATCGCCTATATGCATAGTTAATTTGTAAGCTTTTTCATATATAGTTGATTTGTAAGCTTTTTCGACATTACGGCGCCCTCCTGATACAGCTGCGCACCCCCGCTCTGTGGTGCTAAGGTTTCCCGATACCAAATCTATTAACTTTTCTGTTCTCTTGTAAATTATAATTTTCCCCTACCAATGTTTTCGTTCATAATGAAGTTATTATACGTAATAAATTACAGATATGCTCTACACAACTACCCGAAAAAAAAAACATGGGACGTAA